TTTTTTTTTTTTTTTTTTTCAATGGGGTTTTCTTGATTTACAGGCAAAATTTGGAGGTGGGTTTGATTTTTTTAAGGAAATAATTGAGGTGGGCGTTTGGGGTTCTTTTATTGTTGTAAAAGATCAGATTTTTATTAATTTTGTTTTCCAGCTCTTTGGCCCTTTTGTGCATTTTGACAGAGACCCCATTTGGATAATAACAGAAAATCTGTCCTTATCAATGATTTTAATCTCTTGCTCTTTGTTTTTATCAAGTGGAATTTGCCGAAAACTAGGTTTTACGATGTTGAGGTTGGTCTTCGTCTCATCCGAGGATCATGCCAATTTCACTACCAATCAGAGCTCAGTGAGATTCTGACTGTTGCAACAGATTGTTTTATGGACGTATGCACAGGTATTTTTCTCCTCTTTTGTTGCTCTCTTAGGTAGAAAAAAAAAAACATGGAAATTGTGTGTTGGTATAGGCTCATTAGTTTATTACATGATCAAACTGCCATCTAATGTGTGTGTGTTTGCTTTGAGGGCCAAACAAACAAGATTCACTTTTGCTTGTTTATTTATTATCATTTAAAAAACAATAAAATTGTGTGTTCTGCAGTTTTGTGGGTGAATGGTGGCAATGGGATTCTTGAGTATTATGAGTAATTCTTTCGGGTGCTCTGCATCGGGCGAGCGCCTGGTCTCAGCAGCTCGAGATGGGGATCTTCAAGAAGCAAAGGCTCTCCTCGAGTACAATCCTCGACTCGCAAGGTACTCCACTTTCGGAGTTCGAAACTCGCCCTTGCATTACTCGGCAGCTCAAGGCCATCACGAGGTTTAATTTGCCGAAGTTTCTCTTTAAGTTGGTGGATAAATTCAATGCAAGTTTAAGTTTTGTTTTAGTTACTTTGGAATATCTGGGTCTTATTTCTTGATTTGTTGTTTTTTTAACAGATTGTTTCCCTTCTACTCGAGTCTGGAGTTGATATTAATCTCAGGAACTATCGTGGGCAGGTAATAAAGTAACTATTCCTAATTTTTTCTCAATGGGGAATCTTTGTTTTCATGGTAGATACTGTGATTATGTTAGTGTAAGAAATAAAGGGAGTAATTTACTAATTTCCGAGTTGTTTTTCGCAGACGGCCCTGATGCAAGCGTGTCAATATGGTCATTGGGAAGTTGTTCAGACTCTAATACTTTTCAAAGCCAATGTAAATAAAAACTTTACGACGTATAATGGTTTCCAGTAGCCTTCTCTTTTCATTAAGCACATAAATTTATAATAATGTTTGGGTTTCTTTTTTCATTTTTCTAAGATTCACAGGGCAGATTATTTAAATGGAGGGACAGCTCTCCATTTAGCTGCTCTGAATGGCCACACACGTTGCATTCGCCTTCTGCTCGCCGATTACATTCCCAGCATTCCTAATTTTTACAGTGTTTTAAAGAAAAAATCGAAAAACGAAGAACAAGTTGTCGAGTTCGATGAAGGGTACTAAACGTGAAGTGTTTTCTCTTAAATTATGTAACAATTGGATTCTTTTATCTGTGAGAGTTTCTTAAAGTTTTGATTTTTTACTTACTTCTGTTTTCAGTGCACTGTGTGAAGTATTAAGTAGACCTGCAGATGGAGGTGTGACGGCCCTTCATATGGCTGCTCTAAACGGTCATTTTGAGACTGTCCATCTTCTTCTTGATTTGGGAGCATCGGTTTGTGATAAGACTGTCGAAGATGGGACTACGATTGATTTAATTGGTATGCTCGATTTTTTTTTGGTATTTTTTGCAGTCAGATGTGGTATTTATAGTAACCTCTCTGTTCACCTATGTGCTTATCCGACTCTGCTTCTAAATTTGATTTTCTAATGAACTCGTAAAATGAGCCTATAACATCACTTATCGATGATTAATCTCCAATTATTTGGTCTGCAATACAAAGATTTTGTTTGATACTATAAAAGGCTTTTGGAGGATCAATATTTTGCACATATGTGACTAAGAGCAATTCAGATATATGTAAATTTCAAAAAGCAAATAATGCTGTCATATTAAGTCAATTAATCCCAGGAATAGTGCACTTTTTCTTCTTTTTTTTTTGACCTTTTTAGTTTCTTCATATTCACTTACAGGAGCTGGAAGCACGGCACTCCATTACGCTGCATGCGGTGGTAACACACAGTGTTGTCAGGTAAGGGTTATTTAAGAAATAATAAAATGTCCGAGACTATAAATACGACTTCGAACTTAATTTTGATTTTACTTCTTTTTTTTTTCAGCTTTTGATCACGAAAGGTGCCAGTCTTACCACAGAGAACGCGAACGGGTATGGATGTGGGTTTTTTTTTTCATATTTTATTTGTTTGATATATTTGATAATTCATGCTTATTTGATACTTATATGCAGCTGAGATTTTTTTATTTTTTTTCATTTTTTTTTTGAGATTATTGTTTGGTGAATCTAAGCATAGTTATTTTAATTTACCTATCTCATAGCTTGCTTGGAAATATATGATGCCCATTGAAGGTCTTTTTCTTTTGTTCCATATACTCAACACAAAAAATTGGAGATATATATAATGTTAATACAACACTCTTTCCTTATAAAATGATTTTGAAGCTTACTTAAAACTCTCTCCTGAATTTCTTTCTCTGTTTTATTTCTTTACTTATTCTCCTTTCCTTATTTTTTTTTTCCACTCTAACTTCTTATCTGCATTTCAAAAGATGGACACCCCTGATGGTCGCTCGTTCGTGGCATAGAGATTGGCTCGAGGAAATCCTAAGCCAACAACCGAGACGCCTGCCGAAACTCAGCCCTTCGCCTTATTTATCCCTTCCTCTCATGAGCATTGTCGAAATTGCTCGGTCAGCATATATATAAATAAAAAAAAAAAAAAAACATATTAATTCCATTTTTTTCACTGACCAACGTCAATTTTTCTTCTTGTGACACTTTTCAGACAGTGTGGATGGAGAAGCAGAGATTCACAATCGACCTGTTTAGATCCATGCGCCGTTTGCTTAGAAAGAAAGTGTACGGTTGCTGCACAAGGTACTACTCTCCTTACTCAAAACTTGATCGACCGATGTTTTATATAAATAGGCAAAAACGCATTTTTAGTCATGTTGGTTTAACACCATAACAATTTTAGTCCCAAGGTTCCAACTTTTCACCGTCCTGTGATTTACTATTTTGCTGCAAATTTAGTGGAGAAGATTATTATTATTATTTTTATTATTATTATTATTATTATTATTATTATATTATTTTATTACCTTGGGTCGCTACGGAAACAGCCTCCTTGTATAATTACAAGGGTAAGGTCTGTGTATAACTGAACCCCAGACCCCAATCAGTTGGGAATATACTGGGTAGTTGTTGTTGTTGTAAATATTATTTTAATATACCCACTAACAACTAACCATACCACCTTTTTCAAAACTAATCAAACCAAACAAAAAAATCTAAACAAAACAAAAAATTTTCATAAACATAGATTATATATTATTATAGATTATATATTATTATAGATTATATATTATTATAAGAGATCTTGTCTTGTTCGACAAGTTAGGAATAAGGTTTAGGCCTTATTTAAAGGACTCCTTACTATTGTTTTAATTAGTTGATTTTTATTGAAATAAGATATTGTTGAGTTTTGTGAGTTTTAGAGAGAGTATCTCGTTTATCTTTCTCATTCGTACACTTCCCTACATCATTTAGTCCTTTGCTCGACCAATAGTTTCAATAAATAGGCAAAGATTTAGTGTTGCTGGTTTAACGCCATAGCAATTTTAGTCTCAATGTTCTTGGTCATGTGATTTACTATTTTGCTATAGTTTCAGTTCTTTGAGGAATGAAATTGCAACAAAATTTTAAATTACAGTACTAAATATAAAATTTTAAATTACAAGATTTAAATTGCTAATTAAAAATCCAACCCAAAGATATAAATTGAGAATTTGTTGCAATTTCAGTTCTTTGAGGGTTGTAGCTAAATATTAAATTATAGGACAAAAGGCGAAATGCTAGTAGAATATTGGGACTAAAATTGATGTAAACTTGTATTATTTTTTCTCAATCTTTTGTTTGAAAAAAATGCAGGTTGTTTTCACGAGTTTTGTACACACTGCGCCATATACCTATGCTCCACGCACGCCACGTCATCCGTGGGCCGAGGCCCGCCAGGCTCGATTCCTTGTCCATTGTGCCGACACGCCATAGTCTCGTTCGTGAAGCTAGCGGAAACTCGGCCCGTAATCAAGGAAGTGGCCCGAACGAGCCTTTCTCTGCCCTTCTGCGTGTGTTCGGCAGATGCAACCTCACTAGAAGGGTCGTTCGATTTCCAGTGGGGCCGAGTTTCGCCACATGGCCCGAATTTCAGGTCCTTGAGCTGCAAGAGGTTTTCTTCGGTTAGGCTCAGCCCGGGACTCTGCATGGGGGGTTCGGATACGAGTAACTGTTTGGTCAGCCGGGCAGCCGGGCAGCCGGGCCCGTTGGAGGATAGATGTTTGAGGGTTCCGGGTTTCGGGCGGTCGGGTTCACTGAATGAGGGAAGAAGGTGGTTGTGTTCTTTCAGTCAGGCTATGGGATCAGATGGAGATGGATGCTGAGGAGTTTTTGGATTAGTGTTTGATTGATTTTTGTTTGTGTGTGTTTATTTTTTTTTTCTTTTTTTTTTTGCATCATAGTATACAAAGATGAGGTTGGCTTTTTTCTTTTTCCTTTTTATTTTTTTGGAAATTTTTATTGGGTAAATAACTTGATATGTGGATGACGGCGTCTTATGACCGGGCGGAGGCTGCTCGTATCCGGGTTGGAGCCGATGTCCATGTTACGCGTATGATTCATTGGAATCCGCCGGCATCGGGGTGGATTAAGGTCAATACAGATGGTGCTTGTGAGAGAACCACGGGGCTGAGTAGCGCGGGCGGGCTTCTTCGTGATGAATGTGGTAGATGGATTAATGGGTTCCTCCTTAATATTGGGTCTTGCACCATTACGGGAGCCGAACTATAGGGACTTCAGTTAGCATTGAATATGGGGTTTCGATAGGTTATTGCTGAAGTTGATAGCCAGTGTGTAACAAAGATGGTCCTTGGGCACGTTGATGGCCATAGAGCTCATGCATCGCTTGTCGGGGCTATACGTGGATTGATACAGCGGGATTGGAGTTTTAGGATTCATCATGGACATAGGGAGGCTAATTTCACGACATATCGTATGGCATTTTCTAGCATCTAATTCTCCTCTAGGGCTGCACAGGACTTCGTCCCCGTCGAGTGGGATGGGAGCATGGCTGGACCATGATATTGTTGGGGTGTCTTACCCTCGTCGAGTTCTCGTCTAGTACTTTTTAAGGCCTCTGGCCTCCTTGAACATCATCATGTTATAAATTGCAAAGAGGACATGGTTATTGAGTGTTGGGATGAGAAAAACTCTAGTTTCTTGGTGCAATATGCCAAAATTGAAACAATGATATTAGTTTTTATTATATTTTTTTTTTAACAAAAATAGGATAAATTACAGAAAATAAAACTACCCATGAGATTTAGAGAAAAACACCAAAAAAGAAGAAGAAAAGCAATTAAAATCTAGAATTCCAAATGATACTTTACTGTTTAAATATCTATCAGTGACTCAATTAATGTGTGATTTAGGTGTATGGAAATATTGATCAGCCAAAATTTGTGTTTGTTGTAGACAAAAGAGCATAATTGTGCGTATGTCTATATACACGGACTAATTTTCTCTTTGTTTATTAGCAGATTTGTGTTGAATTAATGGATTGATATGGATATGAACAAAGCGCTACCCATGCACAGGTCCATTATAAATGGGCCAAGCCCAATAGAGAATTTCATCATCGGAAATTATTGGTTCGGGTTATTTTTATTGGTTCGAATTTAAGGTATATATAATAGGGAGATGCGGTCCCGTTACGGAACTATTCTGTCGTGTTTACAACTGTTAGATCAGATATTTTCGACAATTATATGATGATTTAACGGTTACAAACTCGACGGAATAGTTCGTAACGAGACCGTAGTATTTCCATATATAATAAATCGGGATTCACAAATAATAATAAAACTAAATTCTAAAACCATATTGGCATTGCATATGAAATCTCCTCATAACCCTGCCCTGTACACATAGGAATTAATTCCGTATAAAGCTCATACAGTATAACATCTCTCTCTCTCAACAAACAAAAAAAAAATAAAAAAATAAAAAAATAAAAACAATTTTTTCTTAAATAAAAAAATTAATTGATTTGTCAATAAACTGAAATATTTTTTTCCCCTTTAAAACATATGTAAAATATATTAATTAAGCCTCCAATTTACTAGCAGCACTAACAAGATACCGCATAACGTCCACCTGAACCCTAAGGGAGGAGATATAATCTAGGGTTTCGCGGACCAAACACCGCTCGTCCATTCTCTCTCCTCCCGGTACAAGCCTCTTAAGCACGCGCATCTTGCTCCTCACGAGCCTTCTCGCCACAACATCCGAGCTCGATTTCATTCGCCGAGGTACAACCCTAGTGATGCGACTTTTTCGTAAAATCCTCTTGCTGCATGCAATCGCCAAATTATTATTATTATTATTGCGGCTGCTGTTGTTGCTGGCTGGTAACTGGGACTTGTGGCCCAGTATTTGTTGGACTAGGATTCTACTAGGCTCATCTGACGATGAGACGAGGTCTTCCATTAGGGCCCGACTCCAGTGCGTCGTGGCCTTCCGGGTCGAGGCTATGGCTGCATCGGCCGATAGTTTGATGGCCCTCTTTTGCTCGAGAATTCCCATATTGCCCTTGTGGGAACTAGTGTACACGTGGAGGCCCTTTATCCATTTCTTGAGGAATTCCTTTTTGAGAGTGGCTGAATTACTCATTATGCTGGATAATTAAGGATACATAAAGGAGTTAGTTAAGTAGGCCTAATAATATATATACTACAATTAATATGAGAAAATTTTGACTAATCCATATATCTTATTGGCCTTTTTAATGCTAAAAAAAAATAAGACTCTTAATCTAGAACCCTATATCAGCTCTTTAATAATTGATAGTTTGAGTGAAATATGCATGAAGTAAGAACAAGAAATCAAATTTTATGAAAATCTTGCTAATTATTTAATATGGCTAATAGGTTGATTAGTGAGCAAGTCGAATGAATATAGATTCGCTATTGATAGCTATTCAACTATCACTTTCCACTCGCTGATCACTTGATCTTTCGGAGGCTCTACGCTGAAAACCTTAATTCTCACTGCTTTGCAGGTTCATTATCGACAAATATCCAAGTTATCACCGGTTTATTTGGTAAAGCCACAGCGTCTAATGTAAGAGAGTATCGATATTCATATCATCAAAAGTTAACNNNTCATCAAAAGTTAACAATAATACAAATCATAATAACATTGCATACCTTGGTTTCATTGAACTAATATAGCGGAATTTCAAATGTACAGTCGAGAAAAAAAAAGAGGCACAAGAAACAAAATTTTGCAGAAGGAAATGAAGATCTTCTTCGGGATCCAAATAAGTTTAGCAGAAAACAAGGTTTTTCTTTAATATTATATTGAAAAAAAAAAGAAAAAGAAAATAAATAAGAGAGAAGAATATTATTGAGAAATGAGAAGAATACGAGGCCTAAAAGCAATTATATATGATTGGTGGTGGGCAATTGGAGAAATTAAGACACATATCACATGCAAGCACATGCGAGAAAAAACCCTAATTTAACTCATATTGTTGACATTTTTCTCTGGATTTTTAATATATTTAAGGGAAATATTAAGGTCCCGGAACCATTCCGTTGAGTTTTGTAACCATTAGATCATTATGTAATCGTCAAATTATCATATTACCGTCAGAGATAGTTGATCTAACGGTTGCAAATCTCGACAAAATAGTTGTGTAACGGGACCGTATCATCTACCGATATCTATGTATATTAAATATAGATAGATACTTTTGATTAAATAGTTGTTATTATAGCTAGGAAACTCACAGGTATCTTAGCTCGTGATAAAATCTTGATCTTACACCTGTAAAGGTCACTTTTGTGTGACTACATAACAACTACATATATATATAAATCATCCCAAATGTGAAAATCGGGCTTTAATTAGACCAAATGTTTGATGGACATTTTTCCGATGATATAAATTTTTATATCAGATAATCTAACAGTTAAGCAGGTTGATCGGTCATTTTTTTGATTAAAATGTGTAATTTTGCAAATAAATATCGTACTTTTTTTTAATTATGTCGGTTTTTAATAAGTGATATTTCAATTTGAAAGTATAAGCATATTTATTTTTAAAAACGTATGATTGTCTAATCGTTATACCTGCCTATAAACTCAATCTTATTGCAATTCTTTCACAAATAATTCCTATGTGAGGAAGTCTAACATATGAATTTATGATATATAATTTGGATTTCAATAATTTTTAAATGGGCAATGATAGTTGATTAATTTACATACAAATTCGATGAATTCGGGATCTATTATTGATCACCGAAAGGTATAGAGACTATATACAATGTCATCATATCTTAGACAGCTGCTAATACCAAGATATATACAAGGAATATGTCAACATATACATAATACACTTAACATTTTAATAATTTTATACATTACAAATTTACTTTATGATTTTGTGTAATAAAAACAAAGTTCTCTAGAGAAGCATAAGTTAAAATTTAAGTTATTCGCATCATGGCTTTGCAAGTTCCAAATGAAAGAGGCAATGGGTTTTGGTTATCTAAATTGGGTGCCATATATATATGAATCTCTATTAGAAATTTGGACGTTAATTTTTTAAACAAGTGCTTAATTATATATGTAATTAAATCTTTGATTAAAATATACCATTAGAGCCTATAATAGACGCAAAGTATGTTTGATAAAACTAGTCGATAAGCTAGCTGATAGCTGATAATAGCTTATCAATAATTTTTTAGCTTATGACATAACTTATGACTTATATATAACTGAAAAACTAGCTTATATGATAAGCTAGCTGAAATAAAAAATTTCAACTAGTTTATTTGAAAAGCTACATAAAGAAACTTATCAAATAAGTTCGAGTTTTTTAAAAAAAAGCTCGCCCTACCAAACGAGACTTATTTGAATACAAGGAGCTTATAAGCTAACCAAATAAGTTATAAGCTAGCCTATTTATCTACCAAACATAGTCGCAATATTACTCTAACTAATTATAAATATATAAATAAATAAATAAAGAGATCTTTTATTTTATATGAAGTCTTTTATTTGATGTGGACATCACATCATATATATTAATTTGCATCCAAATGTCAGTTTTATCTTTCATCTAATCTTGAATTTTCAAGTTCTTTGGGATTGTTTACCCATTATCTTATACTGTTTTATAAATTCTTCTATTTTGAATTTGTATGTCATCTCTTCACACAACATGAAAGGTCATCTATTTCTCATTGTGCGCTAAAATTTTAAATTAATAATGTATTTGGTAATTCTTAACTTTTGAATAATTGCTAATAACATGTAAACTCGCGATTTTAACTAATGTAAACAAAATTCTGTTAGAAACGGGGAAAAAACGAGTGTGGTTTCACGCAGATAAAGCACACCAAGACATGGAAAGCCCAGATGAAGTCCAAGTGGGGTTCTATCTCAAAATCAATTGGTGGTTTGAGGAGTAGCTCATTAGACTTATAAATTAGGTTTTATTTTTCTTATATAAACGATGTGTGACAACTCACAAGTGAATATTCCAATACGTCCCCTCACTTGTAGGTCTTTAATAAGAAAGCCCAAGCCCTTGTGTGCCCAAGCCCAACTAGAAACAGACTCTCATTAACGGGTACGTGGGGAAAACGGATACGTCATCGCACGAACCCAATAGAACCGACTTTGATATACCAAGTTAGAAACCGTTTAAAAAACTCATGCGGCCCCACACAGATGAAGCGCACCGAGACAGGGAGAGCCCAGATGAAGCCCAAGTGGGGATCCATTCCAAATCCAATTGGTGGTAGGAGGAGTAACTCATTAGACTTATAAATTAGGACTATTTTTCCTATACAAACAATGTGAGACAACTCACAAGTAAATTCTAATAAACTTTATAAGACTATATATACAAATGCTGGTATGTTAGGCTGCCTAATGATTAGACGGTCTATGCTCTAAAATGTAATTAAAAAAAAGAATAGACTAACATAATTATGTTAAAATATGTGTTGAAATAAGATAATCATGTATCTATGTGGCCGTTTGGTACTTAGGATAAACCAAATCAAGATAAAAAAGTGTAAATTGGGCCCAACCCAAATAATTAGGGCATTGATTTGGGATGAAAGCAAAAGTGGTTCACATGCTTTCGTTTAAGCCTGTGACAACAATTAATCCGTCGTCGTTCAACGTACTTTTGCTCCTAATTATTCAATTTTCCCAAAAGTTTGCAATTTATTCTCCTTTTTGCATCAATTAATGGTTGTAATTTATGTAATAATTTTTGTTTTTTTTTTTATTTTTTTGGTCAATTTTTCCCGATCGTCGTATATTAAATCGAAACTCTTGAACCGGTCTATATGTCTAACATTCCTTTAATTTAGTCCGGTTTTATTGTATGATTATATGGCAAATTGTCACCAAAAAATCTCATTAATATAACTCTACAATTTTGACTATAAGTTAGTCAAAATAAGTGTATTATTTTTTACCGTAAGACAAGATTTTAGCGTGTTTCAAAAAATGCAACATCCAATTAAGTTGTTTTAACTAAATTTTTGTCAACTCTTAAAAGTACATAAGAATTAATTAAATTACCGTCTTTAAAGTTACCGATATACTAAACCAATTTACAATTGATTATTGTAATTAATGCATGAAATTAATATTAACTTTCAAATGTGTTTGTGTAATTAGGAATTATAATAGAAATTGATATAAAAAGTCCGTATTTATTTATTTATTTTATGTAGATTTATAAATTACCCACACGCGTGCACGTATTTAAAAGACTCTGGGCTTTTATCGAGCTAATTAAATATGACTGATAACTAAACGCATCGAATATAGAGTTCGAGCTCAGTTCGCATACCAAAATTATCTAAATAAATCCGAGCATCAACAAGCCAAACTCGGGTCATTAACTAAACGAGTTTCAAATTGAGCTTAGACGACTCAAGCTCATTCATCAAAATTAACGAGTCAAACTTGTGTCCTAATGAACCAAGTCGAGCACATGAACAACTCGTTTATCTTACTATGTGGTTTATTTCAAGTGCTTATATGATTGAAAATTATAAATAAAATTAAATATTTTATCAAAAGAATATCACCAATTGTTAATGATCGGTGGAGATGCAATTATAGTGCTATACAACTATTTATTCATCAATCACACATGCAGAATTTCATGTGCTTTTGACAAAGGCTAAAAATAATAAAAAAATAAAAAAATAATAAAAAAAATTGTTGTTAAGGTTGTTCTAACAATAATAATGTTTTATCTTATAAAAAAAAAATATCAATACCATGAAATATCATTGAATTTTAGATTGAGGTTATACACTTTGGAAATCAAAAAAAATCACACATTGCTGAGTGCAGACGAGTAATTACAATGACAAAATTAGGAAGATTTATAGCAAAATACAGAAATAGCCGAAGCATAATGGGGCTATCCCAGCGTTGGGCCGAGGGATGTCATGATCCAAGCATAATGGGCCCAAAGTGTGGTTTAAGTTTTCGTAATGGAAGATATGGGCTCGGCCCATGGGCGGAGCCTTATTGGGACCAGTGTGAGCTTAAGCCCACACTGGAAAAAAAAAAAAAAACTAGTATTAACCTAGGATGAATTTAGTATATTTGCAGATAAATAGTTATTAAATACATGAATGTAATATGAAGTATATTGATTAGTATGTAGTGTAAATTCCTCTAGTGTTGACCTATATTGTTTAATATAAAAAATAATGATTATGTCATATCAGTCCAATCAAAACTGCTCAACTCACAAAGACTAAACTCAATATTACTACTAGCCCATGTGAGCCCAATAAATAAGTTTAACATAATAAACTAATAAAGCATTTAAAAAAATAATTAAACAAGAGAAAAGAGTACATAAATCACGCAGACAAATACAGAGGGAAATAAGAAGATGGAAAAATAGAGGGAAAAAGGAAAGAGTCAAAGAGTTTGCCAATCTATACGATAATACTACTTACAAGATAACGAAATTATTTCTGTTTGTTTTAATAGAGGTAAAAATTACTCTTCTTTATTTTTATAGATAGTGGTAAATATATTTTTTTTTTATGTAGAAATTGCACATTCAAGCCCTTTTTATTTTTTTCTATTACTACAATTTAAAGTGTGCTATGTTAAAATGGGGAATTTCATTATTGTAAATTTATAATATTATTTTTGTATATCTTGAAAGAAATTTTGGAAAAAGGACATGTCAACAAAATTATTGTGTCTTAAAAGAAGATACTTTGAATCCAACGAGGGAAGTTCTAGTATCTTTGGGCAGAAAAAGTATAGGACGAGAAATTCTGGAATCAATGCGAAATTTAGGCCCCCACTCATTATATTTGCTAGATCCGCCTCTGGAGCTTGGACCAACCATTAGAGGTCAATGACCCATTTCGACTTTGCTTTACAAAACTAGACCGTAAAGTGGATGGCAGTTATCTCATATGTATAAGATTCACTATTCGGTCGATTCGCTCTCGGATCTCACATTTCTTTCGCGAGGGGAATCGGCCTGTTGACTTCCTCACTGACATCGGGTCATCCTCCCCCTAGAGCGCATTCTCTACCCTGACTATATCTCTCTCTGCCTCCGCACTCTCATACGGATGGACCACATGAGATACTCTTCATTCAGATTTGCGTAGTCGCTCCTATAGTTTGGCGCATATGCCACACTGTGATGTAGACTTCTTCGCCGGGACTCTCCCCAGACTACTATTTATTATTATTTTTTTTTTCGCTGCAGTTGCCAGCTTTTCATTGTATTTTTTTCTTGCTTTTGTTTTTGGTTTTTCGTTTGACTTGATGTTATTCAGACATTGAACTTGTGGCGTTGTGATCTTTCAACCCATTGGCATTTTTTATATACAAATTGGGTTTGGCCTTAACCCTCACCCTCCGGTGTTGTTTAAAAAATAAAATAATAATAATAATAATAAAATTGGATGGCAGTATGGCTCACAAGTTATTAAAAAGAAAAAAAAAAAACGGTTATAATTAGGATTATTCAAAGAAAAAAAAACAATGAGATGAAAAATCCATATACAATTTTTTATTACCCTAAAAACTTTTGGAAAAACGAATTACTTGGTAAACTTAATACTATATAGTTTATTGTACCATAGGTCCATAGCTGCAACATTTCAAATTTAGCATTTGTTCTGCTTCAATGATCAAATTTAAACACAGCAATAAATTATTCTATGATTTTTCTTTTCCAACCCTTTTGTTATTGTAATTTGTACCTTATATTTTCAAGATTGTTGCGACATTGGACTATCAGAGCCCCGGGGTTCCAATTTCCATAGTATCACTCAACAAAATGTTGACTGGTCATCTGAAATAGATTAGGATATATATTAAAAACAATATTAAAAATAATAATAATAATAATAATAATAAGTATCGCCCTCAAAGACCCCACAGGCACCAAGTTGTCTTTTGATGCATATAAATTCACACACAATAAATTAGCCACGGTTGGTACAACTAACCTTTCCTGTCATCTTTCTTTATGTTTGAAAAAGGTGGCCCAAAAGTCCACTTCAATTTTGGTGTCCGGTATTTGCGACTCTACTCTATTGTCCCCAAAGCCGAAGGCCCTCATCAAACCATTCATAGTTTCGAGTAAAAGAGTCGTAGCTTGATCGAACTCGAGTTCATGATACTGAGTAGAAGAGTCGTAGCTTGACCGAGCTTGAGCTCATGATACTGAGTAAAAGAGTCGTAGCTTGACCGAGCTTGAGCTCATGATACTGAGTAAAAGAGTCATAGTTTGACCGAGCTCGAACTCATGATACTGAGTTTGAACTTGAGCTCAATTTAGTTCGACACAGTAAAGACTGAGACCGATAATCGAACTTTTGAGCTCAATTCAGTTCAACTCAATAAAGGTGGAGACTGATAATCAAACTTGAATTCAAAACAGAGTTCTCTCAACTTGACTAGAGGTAAAGTTAAATTCTATCTCTACTCAACTTGTTAACTAGACGATATAGAAACTAACTTATAGAAAAACATACATATATATAAGCTACAATATAACAAATCAATGAGAGCTAATAACAAGAAACATCCTCAAAATAATACCAATAATAGTCTGAATATCTGTAAAAATCCAAATAAAAAAAAAAAAGAATCCAATGTACACCTAGATACAGCAGGGACATATGCAGCTCATGAAATAATACCAAAAAGAAAAGAAGCTCAAAGCCTTCATCCACCATCCAAGGCCCGAGGTCCGAATCTTATCTTCAAGGATAACGCTTCCAGGCATTGTTGTCTTCCCGGTTGTTCCTAAACGCACAGCACCCAACCGAGTAAACAATGATTAAGAACACAAGGAAAATGATGTTTATAACGGCAACCCTCTTCCAGTCGGTCTTGATGTTATCGAGAAGGCCAGCCTTGCACGAGTCGCATTCATAGCAGAGCACTCTCGGCTCATTGCTCCACCGAGCACAGTCCGGGTTGGCAGATGCTGGTGTTTGTGGGCTTGTCCAGTTCGTTGGGCTCACGTACGTGAAGTTGCAGTCGTTCGAGGGCTTACAGCATCCAGACTGGTAATTTCAATGAGAAAACGGAAAACCTAAAGTTAAAGTGCCAAGCTATGGGGGAAAAAATAGTTTACTAGCAACCATAATTTAGAAAGGAAAAAAAACAAAAGGACCATAAGAGCAAAGCATTTTACAGAACAGTCAGATGCAGAAAAGCCACTTTCCCAAGCTAATAATTGGAGAAACCAATTTAAAGGCACTCAACTTTTTCTCAACCCTAACACAACATAAAGCAAAAAGAAAGATTGTGGAGCAAAAGTTTCTATCCAAAATACAGATTTCATTGCCTACACTGCACATACTGCTGATAAACAAACATATCTGTTTTATCTCAATCTTTATAGTCAAAGCAAGAATCATCATCACAAACCTCCCAATATTTGATTCTATACAGTATCCCTCTTTTTCCTTTTTCTTGAAATAGTGTAGATGAAGAATTCATATGAAATTAAGTGAACTTTCTAAAGCACAAACAGGCCAGTCCAGATCTAGAACCAATATTCAAGAACCCAAGAACAACTAAACACAAATCCTCAAGATATCAACAAAGTACTCAAGAACCCAAGAACAATTTAACACGAATCCTCAAGATATCAACAAATACTCAAGAACCCATGAACAATTTAACAGAAATCGATCGACCCAGAATAATATTTCAAAGAAAAAATAGAAAAAAATAATTATACCTGAAGCGCAGATAGATGCTCTCGGTAAAAATCGTCCACCGGGGTCGACCCAGCCTGAAGCAGCCTCTGGCAAATGTTGCTGTCAACCAAACAGCTCCTAACCCGGCCCCAGTGGTCGTTGACCCTGTTCTGCAGCCAGTTCGAGTAGTCCCCGAGCCTGTACTCCCTGTACCCCCTGCCGGAGATCACCTCGCCGGCGCCCCTGTTGGTCACCACGAAGGCGAAGATCGTGAAGCAGAAGAGGAGGACAATCAACAGGAACATCACCAGCAGGTAAACCCACAGAAGCCACGAAACCCTGCAGCAGGAACCGACGAGCCCGGCTATGGACACGAGTAGGACGAAGACCCCGAGTGCGATGACCGGCCGGTCGAGGAACCGCTCGCACTCGGTGTTGGCCTGCCGGGAAAGCCATATCCCGCCGCCGATGATCGGGATCGAGAGGAGAAGCGTGATGATGTTCAGGAGCCCGACTAGATTGTTACTGCAACGCACCATGATTTTGATTTTTTTTTTTTTCGCTTTTCGATTTCGAATTATCTGTAACGGATCGAAAGGATTTGTCGGCTTTTTCTTGAATGATTGAGAGTATGGATGGGTGGAGATGGTTGTTGATATTTATAGTGGAGAAAATTGAGAAGGGTTCTTCGGAGAAGGCACAGAGGGGAGTTAAATATGGCTGCAATGGAAGACGCGTGGGCGCGAGCCGCCGTAGCGTGTACGAGCGTTTCAGTTTGTGGTTAACAAATTGTATTGAATGTTTGTTTGCAAACAAATCAAGGTAATATTTGAATATGAAATTTAAACACACTTTCCATGATAATAGTCATATAATTGTTAGTCACATCTTTTCAAATAAATATAGGGTAAATAATAATTTACAATCAATCTCTACTATACGGGAATATGACTTTTGCAATATAAATTTATTGTTTCGACATAGAAACTATAGGTTTAATCATTGCTCTTAGAATGAGCGAGTTAAAGAACTCGAGCATGTTATTCAGTTGCATATTACACTTTGAGTTGCAACTATAGTTTGACATTGACCATTGATTTGCTGGTTTCTGAGCGAACCATCCAAAAATTTCTTTGTCCCTTCCTTATAGTTCTTTTATTGCATCTATAAGTCGAAGACTCTTGTGGACCGGACTGCTCTCCACATCAAGTTTTTCAGGGTTAATCCTTCAAATGAAGCCCTAAAGTTTTTATATCATTGTTGGACACATAAACTTTTCTAAAAATCTGGCAGTATAGTTTCAATTGCATTTACCAGCCTTTTTGCTTGTCTGATATTAATGTATAAGGAAAATGAATTTCAATTCCCAAATCTCATTTCAACAGTTCAACAAACGGAAAACCTATGCCATATTTTTTTAGCTTTATTTTCTACAACAGGATATGAAAAATGATACATGTAGTTGTTCCATCAACCCAAATTGCAGTCAGTAGAACACCACAATAAGTAGTTTTTAGATGACAATCATCTAAGCATATCACCTTCCTATAAACTTTAAGCAATCTTTTTTTTAAAGCACCAACAAATATAAATTCTTTTAAACAACGACTCTTCTTCTACTAGTTTGCTTTTCATTTTTACAGTGGTCCTAGGGTTGGTATTTTTAATTACTTTAGCATAAAATAAAAGCATAGCATATTGCCCACAGTTAGTCCTCACATCTACTTTTTTTCTTTACATCTCTACCATTATTGTCTCTACTAGTCATTCAAAATTACCTAATATCTTGTTTTTGTAAGTTCCAACTATCTATTTTAGAGTAACATGACTTACGTTTTGGTTTCTATGACACTGTATGTCATAACTTGCACGGTGTCTTCATCTTAAATTTTAGATGAATACATGAGCCAAAGACTTGACTTATTATTGTATTTTACAAAGTTGCTAATTGTCTTTCTAAACATGGCAAAGTCAGGAAATCTCGTGCCCAATTCAAATTACCCTAGCCAGATCACACAATTTTCCACGTGGCATTTAGTTTTTGTCCCCTTACAAGAATGGACTCGGATGTGGCCAAGTCATCCCCGCGTGACGTCCGTTTACATTAACAATCTTCTACACGTATTTTATTTATTTTTTTAATGACCAAGTACATATATGTTCAGAATGAAACTATCTACCTACTTCATAGTAACATCAATATTTAAATTGTTAGTTAAAAAAATAAAAAATTACGATTTCAAATGTTCAATGTATTAAAATATCAAATTTCATTAGTAGTTATACTTTATTAATTTTAATAACATAATTAATGTTGCTAAGCTGTTTTAATAAGATAAATAATGCTGCTAATTTAACATATCAGGCAGAAGTGAAAGTTACTTCTAATAACTTATTTCAAACTTTAGGACCAGTGATAAAAAAAAAATTAATATTATTTCATATACTTAATTAGTCAATGATAAAATGTGATAACGTGAAATCATAATTTCTAGGAAATTTCGAACAATCAAAGTTAGATTACCTTTGACTGTGTCATCATCTTCTGATCTGTGAATGTCTAATTATTTTTTAATTGTGTGTAAACACTAATTTATTCTTGTAGAATATATGAATTGTTAGAAAACAAAAACAATGGTCATTTGTTTATAGAAATTTTTGGTTTTGGTTAGATTTTTTAGTTTGGTCTGGTTAATTTTGAAAAACGTAGTATGATTAGTTGTTGGTGGGTATATTAAAATAATATTTAAAATAAAATAATTAAATTTATTTTGATGTAGAAGTAGAAGAAAGATGATTTGATGCAATAGTTAGTTAAAATAATGTGAGTGGATGAATAGTGAATTAAGGTTGATGTGATGTGTATGAATGATTGATTGATATTATTTAATTATATTGATGAGATAGTGGAGTTGAGTTAAAGTTGAGTTAAAAAAAAGTGGTTGAGTTAAAATGTTGGAATTTTTTTGAAAATTTTCATAAACAAACATGCTTAGCGTTTCATCTTTGTCTTTGTAAGAAAAGAGGGCAAAACGGGTGCAGTCCCACGCACATGAAGCGCACCACCAAAAGTAGGGTTAGCCCAAATGAAACCCAATGTGAGACATCTCACAAGTGATATTTTAACACGCCTCCTCATTTGTGAAGTTGTGAGACAAGAAGTTGTGAGGCAAAACGGGTGCCAGTACCACGCACGTGAAACGCACCAAACACGCGTGAAGTTGTGAGGCAAAACGGGTATCAATCCCTTGCACATATTTTAACATGTCCCCTCACTTGTGAAGTTGTGAGGCAAAATGGACTTGTAAAAAGTTGTGAGGCAAAACGGGTGTCAGACCCACGTACGTGAAGCACACCAAAGAGTTAGCTCAAATGAAGTCCAAGTGAAGTTTCATCCAAAACCAATTACTAGAAGGAGGAGTAGCTCACTAGACTTATAAATTAGACCTATTTTTCCTGTATAAACGATATGGGAAAACTCACAATTGATATTTTAACAGTCTTACACCACAAACTTTTGTATGAGATGGTAGTTATCATATTTTTTATTAAAAAGTTACTAGTACTAATACCCATGTACAACATCGGTGTTGAGTTAATGAATACATGTGTAAAATTATTTATTTCTAATACCAAACCTAACTCTAGAGCAAAAATAATATAAAAACAACATCACGAAGCATAGATTTTCGCCATGTCAGCATTCGAAGCGTGAGAATCTGCCACCTAGGCTCAATAAATTTTGAATTAATATATATGGAAGAATATTTATGGCGCAAAACGTTATATTTTGTTAATGTTAAAATGACTGTCTACCATTAAACACGTCTAACATCGGCCTCAATTAGCCTTACGAGTGTGTGGTTGGGTTTTTTCTTATTTAAGTTGCAGATAGAACTATTATATATATATATATTTTTTTTTTTTGTCTTTTTAATACATTATAACTAATCAACATCAATATCTTAGTTCTTTCAAATGCCACAGAGATTATAGTAAAATAAAACTGTGGGAAATATCCGAATTATCTTAGTTTAATTATGTGAATTCAGTTTCACAACGATTTACTAATTGTAACAAAATTATTTTTTACTGAATTATTTATTTCCTATTTGCTGTTGTGTTTATCATATCATTTGTATATGTAATTATATTTTATTTATGGCCAATTCTAAAAAAAACCAATTATCGAAATTCCAATTAAATTATTTTTCCCCAATACCGCAGCCCAGCGAACAAAACAAAAGGATATTCAGTCAACAATTTATTGATCAGATTCGAACAACAATTCAGCATAAATCAATTCATCAATAACTAAAAACTGCAAAATAAAACACAGTTAACTCCCAAATAAACACCAATTATACGATGTTTAATTGGCTCAGAACAATGTTCTCTATCAAATTTCAAATGCATCAGTTTACTTCAAGCAACTCGACGAACTCGTGCATTTGAACAAAAGAAACACGAGAAACAACAATCAAACATTTACTACAGTTCTTTTAATTTATTTGATTTCATACCGAACACGAACAAACGAGCTTCAAGGTTCGAACTGAAAATTTTAAACAGCAGACAAACTACAGAGGCCCCGGGAACGTTCCATTCTCCCTCTGCTCATTCCACTTATCAATCTGAAAAAAGAAAGAGAAAAAAAAAGAACAATAATGTGGTTACCTAATGGAAACCCAATAGTCGAACAAACAAAATACTGTCAATATAGCGAAAATTCAAATCCAAATCCACAGCTAATTCTGTGAGTTGGGTTAACATAGTATTTTGAATTTTCTACAAATGAGCAATAATGTAAACAAAACTAAGTGTTAGTATATTAACAGCATTTTAAAGGGCCTAAAGGTACAAGATATCTATGATGACCCAGTGGTTTTACGGCCAAAAGTTCTGAAAATGAAAGGAAAGCATATGGAAACTGCTCCCAATTTTGAATAGCCTATCGCTGGCCAAAATTATAACATCAGTTTTCACCAAATGCATAAAGAAAGATCAAATAAGTAATGAGTATAATGCCAAAAATACGAGTGCTCGAACATGTAAAATGATAGAGGAGGTCGAGAGGAATAAAATTGTTTCAGAATACTCGGTGCTTATTTTATCCAGATCTAGATTGGTGCTTAATAGTTGAGAATTTGACTGATTGATTTCGGTAAGTGAAATATATACTTTTGTATAAATCATCCCCGGATCTTTTACTACTTACAACAATCTATGCACCATCATTTCTAATTTTCTACATTTGCTTTTCATTCTTGAACTTTAACTACCCTCAAGACTACACGAGCAAAATCATAGAAACAAAATTTAAAGAAAAAGCATAGCAGGCCATCAACTCACCCATTCGCCAGGGCAAAGGGAACGGTAGTATTTGGCAAATTTACCACAATCATCAGATTCTTCACCCTTAGCAGCCACACACCTAAAACCGAAAAAACGAATTTTCATTAACTGGACTTTAAGTCAAATTGTTTCACTAATTGTCACTATAATTACCTCATCAAAAACTGACAACATAATATTCAGCTTTACTCTCTTTCTTTTCTTCTTCTTTCATTTCATTTCTTCTTTTGGCATTTCCCGCAATTTCAAATTAAAGGAAAAAATAAAACTAAACAGTTTAAGGCAGTTGTTCATGTCAAGATGCCTCATGCAAGAATAACGGCCCAAGCGGGTCAAGACTTAGAGATGCATGCCTTTTACTCGACAGTGATGATTTTTTTTTTTAAAAAAAAAAATCTACTCGTGACAAGATTTTACACCAAATAGTTCCATTTACATTGTTAACTTTTATTATGTGAATTTCAATAGTTCTCTTCATTTTATCATCAAACGGATGTAATGCATCCACCTCAATTACAACCTCTCTATTTTCACACAAAAGATCTGAATATGTTTATGCGTTATCCAATCTAACATACAAGAACTGCACCAGGTAATAATGCTCCAATCACTCGTAAAACAAAATCAAATCACCCAAGCAAAAATTAAGACTTGTATGAAAATTCAAGGCATTTCTAACCAAGCATGGCGATCAAGGAACCAAAACTCAAGATAGGCAAAATCAATGTAAAGATATCACACTAAAGAGAAGAAAAAAAAAATCAAAACCAAATACATACGCATACATTATCGGATCGATTGTCACCACATATCCAGTGTAACCATTCCCAGTTTCGTAACCAACCAGCACAAATTTCAACTTCCATTCATGAAGATTAGTCACAACTAAAAAGAGGGGAAAAGGGGGCCCAAATACAACTGTAAAAATGTCCACCAACCTGTGAAATTCAATGTAACGGGTGAAACAATGCCTGGTTTGATTTGTGGTTGGGAACCGAAAATCAGCAGGAGCAGTTTTTAGCTCAATCTGAAACATCAACTCAAACAAAAATCAACTACGAGAATGCACTATATTCATTCAAATACAACGAAATATCCGAATAATCAACATCAAACCAAATACCCCAAAAAATAATAATAAAAAAAAAACAGCAAAAATCAGAGGACAACCCTATTAGCAAAATCGAAAATTTAACATCAGAACATGAACATAGGCCAAAAATCACACCGAATCATTACAATCTTTGTTGAAAATTTAACGTCAGAACATGAACATAGGCCAAAAATCACACCGAATCATTACAACCTTTATTAAAAATATAACGTCAGAACATGAACATAGGCCAAAAATCACACCAAATCATTACAATCTTTCGATTCAATAACCGTAAACAAAAGGCCACAGACTAAACAGACGAGAAACAACAAAGCATTTTAAGGAGGGGATTTGGGATTTCATCACGAATCAATAATCGAACATCTAATTAACGCATAAAAACATAGCAGAAAATGGATTTACCTCATCCATGGAGATGGGATCTACGAGGCAAGGGCAACTCTTCGAAGGGTAGAAATGTTTGGCGACTGAAAAATAGTGTACATTTTTGGGCCTATGCTATGTATATTTTATTGACCAATATGAATGGGACTTTGGAGCAAAAGGAGTGATAATAGGAACGGTTCGAATTTTTATATTTTCTAAAATTTATCTCATTTTTATATATTTCTATTATTTTTAAAATTTGATTGTGGATTTTTTTTATAATAATTTGTTTTACATAATATTTTATAACTTCAAAATTTAAAGTATTCAATAAATTAGAGATTATTATGTAGCTTTGGGGAGATTCTACGGTATCGTTATGGAACTATTCTGTCGGGGTTTATAACGGTTAGATCAACTATCCATGACGGTTACATGATGATTTAACGGTTACAAATTCCGACCGAATGATTCCGTAACGGGATTGTAGCATTTATCGTACTTTTGTAGAGACTATATTTGAATATGAAAATATGTAAATTTAAAAAAATAATAATAATTATTTAGTCATTAGTCAGCCAACCAACGACACTATCGTTGATTGCCTTCTCCAACTCACAATGCTTGTACCTCAGCTTCGTATTCCGGCAAAACATGCCACGAGCCCTCTCTTATGCATCTCATCGAGCATCTTGTTCCCCTCGAAAGTCCTTTTTTCGACGCGAAAAGTCGATTGCCATTGATCCGTAATTGTCCAGGCTCGGAAACCAGCCTCTTAGCAAAGCCTCGTCGATCAAACTCTTCACCTGATTAAGGCTCATTTCGTCTTTGTAGTATACCTGGCCCGATTCGAACGTTTAGGACCCTCGAGACCTTTACATACAAATCCTTCTCGAGTAACTCAACGACCTTCTCTACCTCCCGAAAATGCGCAAGGCAATATCCAAGTGGTTCGACTTAGGGCACCCACGAGCAGTTTCAAGGAAGCCATTCGAGACTTTATCTTCCTCCCGCGAAAATTCTCTACGAAAAAGTGTTAACTTTTATTCCCCTACACCGAAAGAATTCGTGAAGTCTACACAATTGAACTCGAGGTGATGCACTGATTCAGGACGAATGTATTAACCTTGTTTCGAGCAAGAGAAAGCTTTCAAAACCTCACGATCACGCAAGGCCAAAACCTTAAGGTTCTTCAATTGATAATTGTCTCGACAAAATCTTTCAATCTCGGCAGCCAGCCAGCCCCAACTGGCTGGCTAGGATTCAGATCGTGGTAAGCTGGGCATCGGTCCATTGTGATAAAGATCACAAGACTCATGATTAGCAACAACATCCGAATGGGACGATCAAAATACAAGCCATGATTAACATAACAGTACACGAACACGGACAAAACCCCCTTGCTACATCAAATGCACTAAACAATAGTCAACAATAGGCAAATCAAAGAAGCGCAAACAGCACATTAAAACCAATAATAATAATAACAACAATGAAGTTCTATTCTCGATTTGTCAAATGGCTGAAAACCGCCACTGCACAGTTGGTTAATCACAGGTATAACTTGAGATCCCCTATATGAAACACGGGCAACCAGGCTAGTTCACTTTCTTCAACTAAAAAAGGAAAAAAAAATAATAATAATAATAACAAAAAGATAAATAAAAGAAACTAAAAAACGGGCACCATAGCCAGTTTTCAACCATCCAAATCCGAGCATAGGATACATCATACCCGTCCCCAGGAAGGGTTAACAGCGGCATTAGCAGCAACTTCAACCACTGGACCGTTTGTAATTTGAGGCCCAACCACAAATCCACCAACAGCATATGGTTTAGCCCCATCCACCGTAGGCTCAGGAATCGTATGAAGATAAGGCCCGCCAGAAGTGTCTGGACAGCTGCTGTTCCCATGATGTGTAGATGGATACAAGTTGTCCGAGTTTATGTAAGGACCTTGTGGGAGTGAAACTACAGAAATGCGTTGAGAAGTTTTGTGAGGACAAAGACGAATAGTATGAAAAATAGTTGTACAAATGGATCACAATTTATGTGCAGGAATAATTACCACTAGCCCTCGGTTCGGCTTTTATTAGCTCCGCTCGCAATCTCTCCACATCTTCAACCAAGGCAATAAGATCTTTCTCCGATTTCCTCATTTCTTCCACTTTCTTCGTGTTCAAGCCTTTTTCGTACTCAAAAGTTTTGCTTCATTTGCCAAAATAAATAAGTAAAGTGAAGATGCAATAACTAGTTAAAAACCTAAAACTTCAATAATATGTGCAACCCAGAAAACCGCTCCTTTGAATACAGTAGAATGAAAACATTGTAACCAAACAAACAGAAATATATGAAGATGTCATAATATTACCAAATCCACCCACACCCACATAGCAAGATTTTAAGCATGAAAAGCACAACACAAGAGAAAACGGTCTAGTACAAAATCAAATGCAAGCCATGCAAATAACTGGAGAAAATAATAAAACACAAAACAAATACCACTCACCGTAACCTCTTATGCTCGCTCCTCAAGCCCTCAAGCTGCGCATGCATTTCCGGAAGCTTCTTAACATTCGCACGGGCATTCTCTAATTCTATGTTAGCCTGCTGTATTTTAGCAATCAACTCCAGTTTTTCCGTCTCTAAATCCCTGGCTTCACCCCGCGCCTCTTCAAGTTCCTTCATTAAATTCTCCCCGGCCCTTATATCAGCTTCCAATTTCTCAATCTTGTCCAACAAAATTCGAATTTCAATATCCCCTTCATTTTGGACACTCTGGATATTTTCTCTAACTTTATCTGCTTCCCGCTTTGCAGCCACAAGATCCTGCCTCAGGACCAAATGGCTGGACGCTAGTGTACGGTTATCCCTAGAGAGTCTTTCTATTTCCGCTGCCTGTGATGCCAATTTGTCCTCTAAAAGCACGGCAAGAGGGATTTGTTCCCTCGGATGGTGAGGATGAGGAGGCAATGGCCCACGGCGCAATCGTTCGTCATATGCTGGCGGTATATTTCTTCTCGAGCCCATGAATAGAGATGATATCCTGACCTGTGAAAAACAAGGAAAGACGATGGGTAAAGCTTCAGAAATTAAGTTGACAATTAATGAAAAAGTATAGCTACGTGATTCCACGAAATTATAAAATTATATAAAAACTATATCTGTAGCATTACGATACTCAAGGCTTGATGCCTGGACTTTCAACCAAAAAGATTGATATGATTATCAAATATTACTTGCATGAGAAGTGCAGGTCATGTCCGAGTTTAATATTTAATATGCAGCATAAAATCTTAGCGCCATATATGACATACTAGCTTAAAAAATTGCCATGCCTTCAGCACAGTGCACTACGTACACTTTCGCATAGGACCCATGCAGAGGACTCCTTACAAAACATTCCTAAAATGTAAAATTTTCTATTTATAAATTTAACGAGAACTTTTATGTCAATGATAACACCAATACACGATGTACAACGTAATGTTGAAGTGAGTGCACGAAATAAGAATAAAGAGAGGAATCCTAGAGTTTACAATATTAACTTGTTCACATCGTATTAATTTTTTCGAAACAGATGGAAAAATTGCACCAAAAAGTATCAATCTTATGGAAAAAACTGATCCCGACTAACACTTGCTGGAAAAACAACTTAACCAAATCAGATTTTCTCACAAAAGCTAATGAACAGAACTTTTTCTGATTCAAAATTTCATACATACAAACTTACAAATAATTCATTATTTGGTGAACTAGGAGAATCTCTACTCAATCTCGTTTGGAAAACATTACGGATTTGCTTTGTTTGCTGGTGACGGGACATATACATTCATTTTCTCAATCCAACCTATTTAACTCCACTTCATCACATGTCCTAATACACCACGATCTCCAACAATAGTCCACAAAACACTTTCCTCTTATCAGCCAAGATATAAATAACCAAGCATTTCCATATATATCATTACACTCTTTTCATTTTCACGGGCGATCAAGAGGCCAAAGCTCGGCTCAGGCCCATCTGATCTGCAACTTCCATGCAGCAACGATTTGCAGACAGGGAAAATAACTAGAAATCATTATCTTATCCCCTTCCACTAAGATGCAGCCAAGAAAACAAATTTCAGCCACAATTTTGTGCCAGCGGGCAGCATTTAAAAGCATCTCTAACTACCGACATTTCATTTCCAAGTAACTAAATGCATTTCTCATTTCGTAACTATTTCTCAAGCTGGAATGGCATCAGCTACAAATAATCACTACCCCAAAGGAAGAATTTACTTTCCCAAACAAGAAGAGCCCAACAAATTTCACAGGAGCATCACTAAATGTAATCCCCCAATCACAAACTATATATGTATATACAGAACAAAGGAAGAAAATTTACTCAAACAACTAGCCCAGGAACCATAAATCATATCATCTACCACACAAATTCATAATGTGATACAAAAACATCAGTACAGGCACAGCAGTTAGAATTTTGCTACGAACAGCACACATTTTACCAAGAACATCGAGTTTATCCAAGTTAAGCATTCAATTTAGGCCCAAAAAATTTCAAAAAACAAAACTCAAACACCAAAATAGAGGATTTAAATACTTAATATAACTCGCAACGCCAAAAGATGTCGAAGAATCAAACCTTTTTACTGCGATTTTCGGTGCGGAGATATCATCTGCAGTACATATGCACGAGGAAGGAGGCAAAACCGAAATGCAGTAAAAGGAATTGGATTGGACCTCAAGCGCAAAATGTGAAAGTGTGTGTAAATGTGTAAATATTTGTATGAAATTGAATAATAGTCCTTTGGTTATAGGGTTGTGCGTGGATGGTACGGTTTAGAGATTGATAAATTTCCATAATTGTACCAAACTTGGTTCGAAGATTTTTATTTTTTGGTTCGATTAGGTTTGATATTCAAGACTATTAGAACGGTTCGATTCAGTATGGGCAAAACCGAAATGCAGTAAAAGGAATTTTGATTGGACCTCAAGCGCAAAATGCGAAAGTGTGTGTAAATGTATAAATATTTGTGTGAAATTGAATAATAGCCCTTGGGTTGGGCCTGTGAATTCATCATAAGATTTTACTAATAATTGCTATTTGGTCCGCTACTTTGAGATTATTCGGATTCTTATATAAAGTTTGTCTCGTTATGTACTATAGACCGTCGTAATAACGAAATCTCGAGATTTTTATTTTCCTTTTCAATATGGTCAGAAATCGTAAAAGGACGAACTACTTTATTTTATTTTTTTTATTGAAGAAATATAACAAAATGAAGTAATTATTATTTTTGCAATTTTTATCTATTTTAACATGAATTCATGGTGTGTTCATTCGGTAGATAACTTAACCTTTTTATTTTACATTTTAAAAAAATTATAAAATATACTTTTAAAATTTTTAAAAATCTTACAAAAAATATAGGTATTCGATTTATTTATTTGGATTGTTCGGACTGTTCAAGATTTTTGAAATTTCAAGCGAATCTCAAAAGTTACTCAATTTTAAAATTATTTAAATTTCACTCAAAAGTCAAATATCAAATGAAGACAACTTACAAATACGGGGTAAAAATAGTTTAGCTATATGTCTAATATTTTTCTTTTCATTTTTTTTGGCCCCAAGTCCATGCTAGTCCACCCAAAAAATTTGCAATATTGGTGTTAATAATACATGATAAAAAAAAAAAAAAAAATGTTACAGTCTCGTTACAGAACCATTTCATCGTAATTTGTAACCGTTAAATCATTATGTAATCGTCGTGGATAGCTGATCTAACGATTACAAACTCCGACGGAATGATTTCATAACAGGACCGTGAAATCTTCCGATAAAAAAATCACGCCACTTAATGTTTTTTTTGGTTAATTAACATTTTTGGCTTATTAACTGAACCAAACAAACCTTATTAAATTGATCTAGTAATATAAATACCTCTACATAATCTCATTCTGTGAGCATCCGTGAAAATTATGCTTGTAGAATACTTTTACTTAGAATAGGTCATTTTTAAGCTATCAAATTTCAACTCTCTCAAATTAAGTAGACTTGATCAACATTATATACATAAATCCACAATTAGCAATTCTTTAGAAAAGGTCATCACCATATTGTACATTTTCAATCCCATATGTAGATAGATGTAGTCCAACTTGACCAAGTACAATGGGTGTACCAAGTCCAAAAGCAAGACAACATATATATATTTGATGCATATTAGTTGAACTTCCAAGCAATAATCAAACTAAAAACTCAAGACAACCATGAATTTCTCCTCTCAATTTCTCAATTTTCTAGTCATCCTAAAAGAGTCCATCAAACTACTCATCAAGAATGGGAAAATAATGGCTTTAGTAACCGCACTTTCCCTATTTTCTTTCTCGGTCTTCTCCTTACTTTTCGACCTCCCGTTGTCTTCCCTTACGCAAGATATGCTCGCCCGGGAGTCCTTGATCCCGATATTGAGCTCCAACAGCTCTGAATTTAGCAACTACCTTTCGAGAATCAAGAACAAGTTTCCATTACTAGCCCCGACTTTGTACATTGTTTTGGTGGTCTCTTACTCTCTCGTCACATTTCTGTCTTCAACTGCTACGGTCATAGTATCGGTCGAATCTCATAAGGGGAACGTGAACTTTTCTGCAAAAGAATTGTGTTCAAGCATCATGAAATCTTGTATTAGGCCGTTTGTTACGGGGTTTTACACGACGATTCTCGTCATAGGTTATGTTTTCTTGGTTTTGACTATAAATGCCCCTCTAAGAATGTCTTCTAACATGTCTACCTTAGGTTGGGCTATTTTATTCACTTTTTTTGCCTACGTTTTCTATCTCTATCTATCGAGCGTTTGGATTTTGAGCTTGGTGGTGTCGGTGGTCGATCGAGACTGCAGCGGGATCATGGCGCTCGGAAGATCGGCCGTAATAATCAAGGGCCAAGAATTAAGTGGATTTTTGCTTAATGTTGTGATGAATTTAGCTTCTTGGGGGGTGTACTTAGGATCAATGAATATTAGGAGTGAAACACATTGGATACCAAATGAGAAGATTAAAGGGTTGATATTGGTGGGTTTTACTTGTTTGGTTTGGGTTTTGACTTTTGTGGTCTACACAGTTATGTACTTTAGGGGCAAGGAAGGAATTGTGCAAGAAATTGAATTAAATTTGAGTAATGTGGAGTATGCCAAACTAGGCAATGATGATCCACTTGTGGGTGTAGCTTGAAATTGTTTGTGGTATGGTATTAAATTATAGTTTGTGGATTTGATTTGGATTTAAATGTATGACTAGTGCATACCCCGTGCGATGCACGTGATACATATAATAAATCAATTATTTCTATAGGACTTGTACGTCTAGACAAAAAAACTATAGACTTGGATCAGCCATATTTCACATCTTTTAATAAGTGTCATTTATTTAAGCCAAAAAATTAACATGTTAATTAATAATTTAATATATAATTCCGCTAACACGTCATACTAATATTTATTTGATTTTTGAATACATATTTATTCATTGATATAAGAAAAAATAAAAATTTTATTTATTCTCGTTCACCATATAATACTCAATTATTATTTTATTATAAAATTTAGTCATATAATGTCATTATTATTACTTATAAAAGTTATAAAAGTAGTCTTCTTTATGTAATGAAATTCAAAATAAAATTTTGAGTATAAATGTTTACAAAATACACACACACATGTTTTTTAAAATTCAATTTTCTCATAATAATTCTTTTTGTTTTAAAAACAAAATGATTTAGCAATTGCCAAAAAATAAATCCCTTACATAATCAAGAGATTTTTTCTAATTTTCATTCTAAGGCTTTATAGTTTATTTAACATACTATGCAATAAAAAAATATTTTACAATAAATTCATTTTTGAAACATAATAAAAAAAAGTGATAAAAACACTATCATAGTTGACAATAATATACAAATAAATAACATGTCAAAATTTTAAAGAGTAACTAATATAATTTTATTATCTAACCATCAATAAAATCATTTAATGATGTGATCAATATCATTTAAATGATAAATAATATTAATTTTTTTTTAAACAATATTAGTTTTATATAATTAAATAAAGGTTAAAAAATATTACTTGGCAAATATTAATTATAATGGATATCAGTAAAATCATTGCATAAATTATTTAAGGAAAAAATTTTTATGATCATATTTGGATAGTAAATGTAAATATGCAAGCATTTAATGCATATAGTAAAAAATTTCCAAATAAAATTTGCATTAAATGTGTTGACTTTTCTTACTACTATTTTTGGTAAATAAGTTGACTTTTAATATATATATATATATATATTAATATATATATATATAGATTTTGCAATTGACAATAGAGTTGATTGTGGTTATCATATAACTATTAATTAAGTTGCGCATATTAATAAATATTATAAGCCCATATTATATTTGTAGTTATAAAATATATAATATGCATATTATATTTTATAAATTTGATCATTATTAAAAATGAACTATATATATATAATGATAACTATTTTACTTATATATGAATCACCATAAAAATGTCATACAATATAATGAATAGTGTACTTACAAAATTAAGGGGTCCAAACAAATTAGTTAGTTGAATAAAAAATATTAAATTAGTATTATTATTATTTTTATTTTCAAAATATAAATGTAAAATATTAATTGTATGATTATTTTGTTGTGAGGTGTCGATAATAGTGAGGAAAGTTTGAACCACATGAATACTGATCTTCTAGCTGACATATGTCATTCTAAAACAACAAATATAAATTAAAAAACAAAGTAGAATAAACTCTATTTTCCATTCTTAAAAAAATCAATTTCCATTATAAAAAAAAAAATATTATTTACAAATTAATTCAAGATACACCCATTTGGTTGAATCGACGGCTTGTGACCTATCATAAAAAATTATTATGTTATAATTTTTAATTATCAATTATGGTTTTGTTAGCAATATTTTCCTTTTGTTATTTTATAATTTTTAATTATTAGTTAATGTTTTAATCATTTTATTATAATTCAAGGAAAAATTTGAAGATATATATAGATGGTACATCCAATAATAATCACAAT